GAGTTTTATTGTGTTTTCTGCAGAGGCTATAGGATGCAGAGTTCAGTTTGTGGCTTCTAGAGCCAGATACCTGGGTTCAAATCCTGTCTTGGCCACTAACTGTATAACCTTGGGTAAAATACTTAGCTCGGTTTCCCCATTGTGAAATGAAGATAATCATGCTATGAGAACTAAAGTAAATATCTGTAAGATATTTGGACTGAAGCTGGAACATCTATCCAAGGTACCATTAACAGAGTTAGCTTCATATTTTAAAATGCTTTGCAAACTGTCACGTCTTGGTGGAATTGTGTTGTTGGTTTTATTCTTATTCCATCCATGTGAGTTTATGCAGATAGGACAATCATTATCAGCAAAGACAGGTCATGTTTTCCTGGTTGGTTTCCTGGCCTCACATATTTGTATACTCCTTCATTTTCTGTAATCCGGATTTCCCCAAGAGACATCAAGCCAGACCCTCCCCATTTTCTCCTTGCCTAATAGGAAGTTCAATCTTTTCCTGGGTTCCTAACCCCAGATGATGTCACAGAGCTTCTCTGTGACCTGCCCTCCCCAGGCTCCAGCCCGCCATCCTGGTGCTACCCCTGTCTAGTTTCCCTCATGAAGCAATGAGCACAACAGCTCCAACCCCCTCACCTACACAACACGCATGCTTCTTTATGCACAGTGTCGGTGGGTCTCAGAGCTTGTTCAAGCTGACAGAGCTGGCAGCAGAGACAGGGCCAGAACCTGGGTCTCCCATCTTCCTAGGGCTGCATTCTACAAAACACAGTCAGCATTCCAAGAAGAGTACTGACATAATGGGAAAGGCACTGCATGGCCCTCACTCATTCGGCCAGTCATGGATTCACTAATTATTCAAATAGTTACGATGCCTGCTGTGTGCCAGGCACTGTTCCAGGTAAAAGGACATTGGCACTGTATTACGTAAAAGGAAAGGGAAAAAAATTGGCTGATTTCTTCTTGGTAATACATTTGTTCCATACTGTGAAAGCATTAGTGGCTCCAGAAGTTTTTGCAGGAGGGTCTCAGATGTGGCAATGTTCTGGAAGGAGGAATGATGGAAACATTGAGTACTCACGCATATCTGCTCCTCCCCTCCTTCTGGAAACAGAAGGAGAACACCCCCTGTGTCAGTCTGTTCTCACCCTGCTAATAAAGACATACCTGAGACTGGGTAATTTATAAAGGAAAGAGGTTTAATGGACTCACAGTTCCACATGACTGGGGAGGCCTCACAATCATGGCGGAAGGTGAATGAGGAGCAAAGTCACATCTTACACGACAGCAGGCAAGAGAGCTTGTGCAGGGGAACTGCCCTTTATAAAACCATCAGATCTCGAGAGATGTATTCACTACCATGAGAACAGTATGAGGGAAACTGCCCTGATGACTTAATTCTCTCCACATGGCCCACCCTTGACACATGGGGATTATTACAATTCAAGGTGAGATTTGGGTGGGGACACATCCAAACCATATCACCTTCCCTCCCCTTGAAGTTAGGTGGGGTCATGGGGCATGTTCTAGGCAACTGTTGTGGATGGAAGAAGATGGAGGTTTCACTTCAGAGTGAAGCGTTTCTGGGGCTCTCTGACCTGCACCGTGATGGTGCCAGAGCTGCCAGGTGGACACTGCAGGATAGAGGCCACCTGGATGGCTGAGTTCACATGGAAGATGTTGCCCACAAGGGTCATCTAGACCCCCAGTTGCTTCGTGGTGAAAAAGAGAAAGAAATGTTGCTGTGATTTCTGCAATTTGGCTGCAATTTGGGGGTTGTTATTAGAGCATTGCCCAGTCTTTCCTGACTGATGTGGTATCGGGAGAAAGGTTAGGATACTGGTCTTGAAGCTGAATTTGCAGTGTCACACTTTCTATCTGGAGTGCAGGTCCCCTGTAAGGAGCAGCAAAACAGTTTCCTAGAGATTTTCTTACATAACTTTGCTTGTATATTTTTCTTAGTACCCTGTGTGGCAGGATATAGAGAGAACACTGCCTGGGGTTATGAGTGGACTAAAGCTTTTCTTTCCAAGTCATTCCTTGGAAACACTATTAATTAAAATAATAAATAATAATAGACTCAGTAAATACATTTTTACACTAAGGAAGGTTAAACATTAATTAATCAATAGGACTTGATGTTTAAGGGTTTCTTTTTTCTTATTTTTATTTTTATTTATTTATTTATTTATTTTATTTTTTTGAGATGAAGTCTTGCTGTGTCGCCCAGGCTGGAGTGTGGTGGCACAATCTCGGCTCACCGCAACCTCCACCTCCCAGGTTCAAGCAATTCTTTGCCTCAGCCTCCCAAGTAGCTGGGATTGCAGGCGCCCACCACCATGCCTGGCTAATTTTTTTGTATTTTTAGTAGAGATGGGGTTTCACCATCTTGCCCAGACAGGTCTTGAACTTCTGACCTTGCGATCCACCTACCTCGGCCTCCCAAACTTCTGGGATTACATCTTTTTTTTTTTTTTCTTGAGACAGAGTCTCACTCTGTCACCCAGGATGGAGTGCAGTGGCACGATCTCAGCTCACTGCAACCTCCACCTCCCGAGTTCAAGCAATTCTCACGCCTCAGCCTCCTTAGTAGCTGGGATTACAGGTGCCCACCACCACACCTGGCTAATTTTTTTGTATTTTTAGCAGAGACGGGGCTTCAGCATGTTGGTCAGGCTGGTTTCCAACTCCTGACCTCAAGTGATCCACCCGCCTCCACCTTCTAAAGTGCTAGGATTACAGGCGTGAACCACTGTGCCTGGCGTGTTTAAGTGTTTCTTACGGGCCAGCTCTCACAGTGACTTAATTAAGAAGCTCAGCTGAGAAGCATCGGGCTATTAAATGGAGGTTGACGGAGCCCTGGTTGATTCAGGGCTGGATAGAGACACGGCCTTTATTAGTCTTCTTCGCTTCTGTGAAAGCAAAGCAGGTTTGTATTCCACTTTGGGACTAATCCATTTGTCACTGTGAAGTCTCTAAGGACAGGGATGTCCATTTCAAACTTCATTTGCAGCTGCTTTTTAGTCTTAGTGGTTTTGGAATGGAATTCATCCGCTTTGACCTCTTGTGTATTTGGTTACCTCTTATCTAGTGCCCACAGTGAAATTCCAATATAACATTAACAATTTGTTTTCCCTGATATCGGCTCTGTTTGTCACAGGCTGGAAGCCAGGCCCATAAAGAAATGTCACTTTTGGTCTCTTTGTAAGAGTTTTATGCAAATAACATAATGATTTCAAGGAGAAAGAAGACTGGATGGGGAGGAGGGGAATGGCAGGAGGGGAGTAGAAGGAAAAAGAGAAGGAGGGAAAGAAAGGGGCGGTGGTGAGCACGTGGAGTCATGGAGAGAAGGGAGGCCTGGGGAAGCGCATGGGTGTCCATGAGCAAGTGAAAACACACCTCTGCCTCTACAACATGGTGGGGTGGTGGTCGAGACCAGTTGCCCTGTGTAGCTTGGAGCATTGTCAGGAACAGACACGATGGGGTGTGAGCAATGCTATGGAGAGGACCCAGTGCTCCTTACACAATATTAGTGATTCCAGTGCCAGCAGGGGACAGAATCGCAGCCAGTAAGAGAGCAGAGAAAAGGTTTTTGAATTCAGATCAACTCATTCCCGAAGGGCCTACAAACACCGTGCAAGGGTACCTGCGTATGGACCTCAAACTCAGTGTGTTCTCATGCCCTGCAGTGCTCATTCTGAGAACGCTCTTACTGTTCCTTCCCATCTCCCCTTTCATAATCACCCTTTTCCTTTTTAGGAAAAAAAGTACCATCTTCACTTCCCGGAGTGCTTTGCTTTAGGCATGCAAATCCCCCCACCCCACATTCTACAAGGGGACAGCCTGTAAGAGTGGGGTCTGGGACAAGTGTCCTTTAATTAACACTCTACAACCCCCTCCATCCATCTCCTAAAGACTTTACTTTTAATAAAATATTGCTTTGATGCTTAATAATTATTTATCAAAATTTACTGTGTGTTTGTGTTGTTTTGATCACTTGAGTGTTACAAATAACACTGATGATAACTCAGTTCAGATGAAATTGTAAACATAGTATATTTAAAAGTAAAACAATTGATGGCATAAAAACAAATCGAAGTAAGATAAAATTATCAGGAGGAAGTAGAAGGAGGAAAGGAAATGATACACATTTCTAACTATTAAGAAAAGCTTGTTAATATATCTTAAAGGATCATGCATATTAATCAGGTATGATATTTAGCTTCCATTGGATGCATTTCAAAGGATGATGTAACAGTTTTATTGCAAAGTGTCAATATTTACACTACTCTGTCATTTACACAACCTTGTCATTTTTGTCCTTTGTATTTTACTCTCTAATTCTTTTTCCCTTGCTCTTTACTTCCATGACCAGAAACTGGCTTTCTCATCAGGACTAATTTTTCACAAAGAATCTGCATTTGAATCAAGTCATGAGAAATATACAAGGCAGATGAGAGAGAAGCCCAGGCTCTCCTGGCACCCACATTCTGAGTAGTGGGCCAGCCCCACTCAGCGCCAAGCAGACTGGGTCCACCCACCTGCCCTGCTCCACATTTCTGCATACCATGGAGTATGGTGGTCGTGATTGCTGCTCACCAAATTTTCCCCCTGTCCCTCCAAGCACTTTCCCACAATCTTGGAAGGTAGGCGCAGCCATATAACTGACTTTGCCTACGACTTGTGGGAGGAAATGGTAGTGTCACTCTTGGGCAAATATTTTAAAAGCCAATCTTTATGAAGCCATACCTTCCTCCTGCCACAGTGATTATAGAAGGATGTGCCAAGAGGGAGGTGCTGCAAGCCTGGGTCCCAATGTACAGAAGTCTCAGCTGACCCTGTGGTAGCAATGCAGCCTTCTTATTTAAACCACTGATATTTTTGGTCTTATTTGTTACTGCAGCACAACCTCACCCACCCTGAATAGCACCATGAGTCATTTGCAAACAGTTGAAACTTCAAATGTTAACTCTGTGAAATGCAGTTATTCCACATTCAGCTCCTCTTTATAACCATTTATTTTTATTTACAAAACCCACCACGCTTTGTCAAGTCAAATTTTTGGATCTGCCTTTTTGAAATAAATTTCTCACATGGACAAATTTGCTTTTTCTCTTCTGATTTGACTTCAGGACCTTTGACCAAGGACCCAGGGATTCACCACTCATCCTGTTGAGTTTTGCTACCTCCCATGGATCTTTGAGCTTGAGGTCAATAGTGATCACTTCTTGGCTCCCGCCTTCTATGACTCTTGAGACATTTCTTTAAAATTCTGTTTCCTGCTCTGATCTCAGGTCAGAAGCTCTTGTGCATAAGCAGGCCTGGTGTTCATCAACATTCACTATCAAACCAGAATGTCAGTGTGAAAGCCTTTCCCACAGAAACACCAGGTGCAGCTAAGGGAAGCCGGAGGAAGTGGGTCACTAGCCCAGAAGAATGAAGGAAACTGATTCGTGAGTCAAAAGGACATTACCCACTGTTCCACTAAAGAATACACAGACTCGAACCCCGTTCTGCATTTACCAGTCCACTGATGAATGACCAGCTCTGAAGGCTGATAGGAACCTTTGTCCCTTTAAACCAACCAAGAAGTTCATTTACACATTAAAAAAGAAAAAAAAATCTCCATTTTAGACAATGGTTTTCTGGCTTAATGGTGGTAGAATAACTGTGATTCTCACTTTGTAACCAAAAAGATATTTTTTCCTCCATGCACGTAAATGTTTCTCCATCTCCCTGGCATCTTGGCAGATCAGGGATCCAACCGTTTTTAAAGTAGAGGAAAACCAGAGCACCAAATCCAGCATCAACGTCCTAATTGAGGTCAGCCCCTCCTGGGTAACCTTTAAGCCGCACATCATCATGTTCCAGTGGTTCTGGTTTTAATGTTTTCTTAATTTCTCCATTGTAGGCCTAAGTAGCATCAAAGCTACTTAGATGCTGTGTCTTAAAGGTACAGAAGGATGCTTGCAAGAGAAATAAAGGAGAAAACTGATAGCCTGATAACTCTTCTTGCAGAACCAGCTGAATCTAGAGACTAAGGAGTAACGGGCCATCTGGTGTGATTTCAGGGCTCTACGTACCATTGCCTTCTTCCTGGATTGCTGTGTGCCTTCAATCCTACCATTACTGCTTCTTTCAGGCTGAGACACCAAACACTCCTTTTAAAGTAAAAACAGCATATAATTGGAAGATTGAATCAGTCAGCACTCTTGGTTGCATGCAACAACAAAACCTAAGTTAAATAGCTTTAAATGAAATAAATTTATAATATCAGATAAGTAGAATGTGCAAGGAGTAGCTTGTTAGTTTCAGGCACAGCTGGATCCAGAGGCTCAAAGGTCAGCCGTTCCTGATGAGTGTCTCTTGATCCCTCTGCTACTCTTTTTCCCTCCCAGGGCCATTCTTAGAGAGCATCTCCTGCTGTGGCTGCAAGACAGACTAAGCCTCGTAGAAAAGAGCCTCTGGCACTCCCAGAAGCCACAACAAAAGTCTCATTGCATCTCATTGGACCTACGTGTCACATCCCCATCCCTGGACCAGTCAGAGTTGTGATGGTCTTACTCCACCTGACACAGAGGGTTGGTCCAGCCATTGGAGGGTGGTTGCCCAGGGGAAACTGGGATTCAGTTACCCAAAGATGGTACAATAGATTCTGGGTAGCCAAAAATAAATACACTACAAAGTTCATATTCTTTAAAGAGATTTATAAACAAGAGTGAGATGCACAGAAGCAAAGTTTCACTATCCCTGTCTGAAGGTGAAACTAACTTATTACCTGGGTTGACACTTCAGATTAGGTACCTGTGACCTTGGAAAGGGAAGTCCTACTAGTGTTGGGACACAAACCAGGAAAGTTTGAACTGAGGAAAGGAAGTCAAAGGTCCTAAGGTGGAGAACTGGCCAAGTGAGGCACGAGGGAATGGAGGCAACCAGCAGAATGGAGGGAGGTTCTGGATGGATCCTCGATATAAAGAACAACATAACAATGAGGGCAGCCATGGATGAAGTGCTTGCTATGTGCCAGGCACTATGCGAATCACTCTCTGTATATTAACACATTCACATCTCACAGCAATTTTAATGTTTATTAAACTTATTTCCATTTTACAGTAAGACAACTGAGACACGGAGGGCTTGATAGAGCTAGTGGTGGTGATGCTGAGACTTGAACCAAGATAGTCTGTTCCAAAGTTCACATGCTCAGACAAGATATTGAAGAATCGCCAGGAACCAGAGCACTAGAATGGTGCTGCTGGCACCCTTGAAGCTCCTTAGAGCAACTGTCTCCTCATGAGTGATGGGGAAACTGGGGCTCTATAACTGGGCACTGTTCTACCCCAGGATATTAGTTAGGACCCCTTCCTTCTGTAGCCAGCAACAGAAAATGTAGACCAGACTTGTTTCAATAAGAAGGGAATTTGTTTTCTCCCAAAACAAAATAACAAAATATCTAAGTATCGTGCTGGTTTCAGGGACAGTCGATTCTGGACTCAATTCAACTTGACTCAGTTTCCCTGATGCCTTGACGCTAACGTCAGCTGTGTTAGTTTCATTCTGCGGCTCTAAGTAGCAGAATGGCACCTCCAGCCTCATCCAAGTTTCAACCCTTTAGAAAAGGGCCACAAGCTTCCAGGGTAGTCCGGAGACTCATTCTGATTGGGTCACGTTAGGTCACGTGCTCACTTACCCCTGATAAATTGCTGTTGCCAGGGCACACCACGTGGTGATTAGCTTAGCTCTGGAAAAGCTACATGCTGATTGGCTTAGCTCTGGAAAAGCTGCATGCTGATTAGCTTAGCTCTGGAAAAGCTACATGCTGATTGGCTTAGCTCTGGAAAAACTACATGCTGATTGGTTTAGCTCTGGATCTTGGGCTTGAGTTCTGACTGCAAGTCATATAAATTGAAATACAGAGGGGAGATTTTTCAAATGAAAATGGTGAAGACGGGAGTTTTCTGTTTCTAAAATAAAGTGATAGAGGTGCAGGGACTAAAGAACAGATGTTTGTAATACCCAGTCTCCTATGTAAGAAAAGTTTATTTTTTTTCTTAGCTTATATTGCAGCAAATTCGAATGCATGTGACCCACAGTGACCTCTTCCAGGCTGTTATCTTGTAAAGTGACCCATATCCTTTCATCTATTTCCATACTCACCTTTGTGTGTTGGGAAAATGGATTCGCGGTGGCTCATGCCTGTAATCCCAGCACTTTGGGAGACAGAGGCGGGCGGATCACCTGAGCTCAGGAATTTGAGATCAGCCTGGCCAACATGGCGAAACCCCATCTCTACTAAAAAAATACAAAAATTGGCCGGGCGCAGTGGTGGGCACCTGTAATCCCAGCTACTCAGGAGGCTGAGGCAGGAGAACTGCTTGAACCCGGGAGGCGGAGATTTCAGTGAGCCGAGATCGTGCCACTGCACTCCAGCCTGGGTGACAGAGCCAGACTCCATCTCAAAAAAAAAAAAAAAAAAAAAAAAGGAAAGAAAAATAAAAGAATCAAACTCAAAGATATTGTGTTAAATAAAACTAAGCCAGTTATAGAAAGGATGCTTTTAGTATAATACTGTTACTATAAAGATTTGAAATATGCCAACAAATAAATATAATATTTGGGACTATTAAAAATTTCAGTAAAAATGTTACTATAAAGATTTGAAATATGCCAACCAGTAAATATAATATTTGGGACTATAAGAAATTTCAGAAAAAAATATACATGAGCAAGGCAAGAAAACAAAGTTAGGAGATGACTACGCCCTGGGGAGAGAGCAGGAGATCTAATGGTAGAGGGGTACCCAGGAAGCCTCAAATGTACTTCTGAAGTCTGATTTCTTATGGTGGAGGGATGACTGCCCAGGTGCTTATTAACTAACATTTTGTTAGTCTGTATGTCTAAAAGGCTTCTCAAAAAAATAGAAAACAAAAATCAAGTAGCAAGTGCATGGCCCATGACCAATGCATCATCTCTGCCCTGAAATGATGTGATGTCTGTCCCACATGAGTATGAATCTTCTTAGATAACCTCAAAAGTATGAGGATGCTCAACTCGTTCTCCTCAGCAGCAGGCTCCTGCCCTCTCTATCCTCCTGGATCCCTTTGGATTTGTCTTGCTGGGTTTTGGGGAGTGGAGACGCCCTCCTCCCTGCAGCGCTTCCTCACATGGTGATTTGTCTATTGAGCATCAGTCAGGATCCCGGGAGGACCTGAGGGTGCAGCCGCCTCCCCACAGGGATGGAACCAGGTCCAGCTGCCCGGAACCAGGAGACCCAATGTCAGGTGCGATTTTGTGCTGGGATCCAAGTGGAACCACAGGTCTGTGCAGCTTCTTGTAGTCAAGAAGCTCATGACTACAGAGGGAGGCATGGCTGGGACCCGGTGCCTCTGCCCCGTCTGCATCTCTGCACCTCAGGGCAGCAGAACACTCCAGGCCTCTCTCACAGTGGCCAGTGTGACCTGAGGCTGCCCATCTCCCCGCCAGCCTGTCCCGAGTATGAATTTTCAGCATCGGAGAGTCCTTCCTTTTTGGTTTTCCTTCTTTCCTTTTTATAACTGAGCATCTCCCAGGCAGGATGGCTGATTGAGCTATACCTGTCCACCTGCAGCAGGGGCTTCTGGCTGGCTGATGGAAGCATGTCTCTGGGGTACAGCAGAGCTCAGGGTGGGGACAGAACAGGGAGAGCTGGGAGGCAGGAGAAAGGCCCTACAGGAAATGCCCCACAAGCTTTCCATCCTGCCTGCTTTTCCCTGGGGAAACCCAAGTCTCTGCTGGTGGCGGGGGGCAGGGGAAGAACTGCTTTATCTTAAAGTTAATCATTGATGACACCTCCTATCACTGAGTATTGATTGAGTTAGGGTGGGTCTAACAGATAAATGATTCTTAAGAATTCAAGTTTAGCAAGTCATTTATAACCAGAAGCTCCTGCATTACTTACAGAAAACAGATAACAAGCCTGCGGCAGAGGCAAAAGATCAAGCACCATGAAGGAGGGAAAGATTTATGCCGCCCTAAGTCAACAAGAAAAACCACAGTGAGACTCAAAGTGTCAGCGTCTGTGAAGAAGATTCCCTCAGAGCTCTTCTCTCTGCTTCCAGATAAATAGAAGTGAGAAAAGTATATCTATTAAAATGCGTTGGCTGTCAGCAACCAAAGACCTTATTAACAGACTTGAAGAATCATGTAGATTGTCCCCTATAACAGAGGGGATGATGAATGCAGCTCAACCATATCTGTCTCTCTACTCTGCCTTCCTTAGCAGGTTGGCTTGTTCTTAAGTATGGCTCCTCATGCTCACAGAAAGGCTGCTTCGGTTCCAGCATGCTGTTCTCAACCAATTCTTTTCAAAGGCAGGAAGGAGAGTTTCTCCTTGTGCCTCCATAGCATGACAGAAGAAAATTTTTCCTTGAAGACTCTTCCCACCTTGGAACATTGACTCTCCCCTTGCGTCGGTCAGGTTTGGGTCCCATGGCTGCTTCTGGATGCAAAGGAGGCTGAGCAAGAAGCATTTGGTATATTTGGGCTCTAGAGGAGGAGAAGCAAGCACCATGCAAGACAGAGATAGGGGGCTGGGGCAGCAGCGGGCCACAGTGGGGGTGACCCTTAGCTCCCGCCTCGGAAAGACAGGTAAAGCCTTCTGTCCAGTTTTGTTGTTTGTTTTGTTTTGTTTTGTTTTGTTTTGTTTTGTTTTTCTCCTGGGGGCTACATGGCCATTTGGACAGGATTGTGTGTCATACATTAGCATCCCTGAACCCTTACCCTAAATTCTAGAAATGACACCCACCATGAGTTATTGTGACAATGCAAAACTCCTCTAGATGTTTTTAAATGAGCAGAACTGTCCCCATCTACCCCAAAGATTCTTAACAAATGTGAATTTTGTTCAGGCCAGTGTGGTGGCTCACACCTGCCATCTTAGCACTTTGGGAAGCTGAGGTGGGAGGATTGCTTAACTCCAGGAGTTGGAGACCAGCCTGGGCCAAATAGTGAGACCCTGTCTTTACAAGAAATCAAAATATTAGCCAGACATGGTAGCGTATATCCTATGCTCCCAGCTACTCAGGAGACTGGGGTGGGAGGATCACCTGAGCCCTGGAGGTTGAGGGTGCAGTGAGCTGTGATCGCTCCACTGCACTCCAGCCTGAGTGACAGAGAGAGAGAG